TGGAACTGCCGGAGCCATGCTTGCGGGTGCGCGCAGACACTCCCTGTGGTGCTCTTTTCTAGGAGCTGTTCAATGTAAACATGGCTGCTGCTGCTGCTCCTCCTCCTGCTGCTCCTATGGCCACCACAACTTACTGATGCCGCCACCAGCACTGGGGCTGGTGCTAGTGCTAGTGCTAGTGCTACTGCTGTTGTGGCACTTTCTGCTGCCAGTGCCGTCTACTAGGGAGACAATCGTAACGAGCCCGAATGCCATCAGGAAGTCTTTGCAAAGTTTGACAGCAACCGGGACAATCTGCTTAAAGCTTCAGAGATGCTTTGCTTTGCGCCTTGGATAGATATCAGGTGAGCTTCGGCTAGGCCATTCTTGTGGGTATTGGGTTTGGTCGGGACACAGGTTGCAAGCAACAAATATCTCGGGGCTTTTTATTCAGACATGTTGTTTTGACAGCCAAGGGCGTCACTGCATGGTCATTCCTCAGAAATAGACGGGGAATGTGAACCAAATCCGAAGTAGACTTGGAGTTGGCTTCGGGGTCCAAAACGCATGTGGACTTGAAATGTTGACTCCTATGCACGACAGATGCGTTGCAACTTTGAGTGTGGCGCGGGAATTCTCCCCCGTGGGTGTATGTCAGGTGTGGAAAGGCCTAAAAGTCCTACTTGTCACTCGAATAGCGAGGTACAGCGGACGTAAACCAGTTCTCGTCCAACGCATAAGTCTGACACCTGCGATTTGCAAACCACCGATGCTCTCGGCATCAGGCAAAACTAGGTCCATAACTAGGCTCTCCATAGATCATGTTCTGAGGCACCCAATTTTCATGCTGTACTTGGAGGTTTGGACGGTGCCTTGTATACGTGAAGAGAAACTATGCATGGATAGTGCCAGGCACGTTCTGTGGGATTCGACGGTGCGGAAGATCAGTGGGACGAGGCAGCGGCAGCCGGCAGATCGCGTGAGCCACATGAAGAGTGCCTGGTGGTGCATCCTCCAGCAGACAAACAAACCACTCTTCAGCGCCGTACGGTCTCAAACTTTACTGGAGGAGTTTCATTTTTCATGGACTTGAAGAACAAAACCTAGGATGGAAACGTGGCACATGCCATGGAGCCTCGTAGCTTCCATTACCCAGACGGTATCATTCTGGTATCCTGCTGTTGGGACTTGAAAATTCCGAAATTCATGTGCACAATCTGGGCTAAAGCCTCCACCACCATCACCGCCAACAATCACAAGAATGTGATGGCTAAGACGACGGCGACAACAAAGAAGGCGACGACGACTGCTGCTGCTGCTGCTGCTGCTACTGCTGCTGCTGCTACTACTACTACTACTACTACTACGACTACGACGACGACGACTACTACTATTACTACTACTACTTTTACTAGTACTACCACCAACACTACCACCACCTTCCGTGGTGCCAGAGTCCCGAAGTGCTGCTGCTGCTACTACTACTACTACTCCTACTACTACTTTTACTACTTTTGTTATTATTATTACTGCTACTGCTACTGCTACTGCTACTGCTACTGCTACTGCTACTGCTGCTACTACTACTACTACTACTGCTACTACTCGTAGTGGTACTCCTACTACTACTACTACTGCTACTACTACTACTACTACTACTAGGCATACTTTATGTATTTGACGACTCTGTTTTGTGAGCTTCTTTGTCTGAGTATGACAGCCGC